ATGGCGGCGAGTACCGTCGGGGGCCCAAGCTCGATGTAGGGCGTTCTGGACTGCAATTCCTCGCTGCGAAGAGTTTTGGGTTTAGGGTTTAGGGTTTGGGGTTTAGGGTTTAGGGTTTAGGGTTTAGGTTTTAGGGTCGAGACGCCCTCTACGGCGCTTATCCTGAATGCATAGCCAAGGGTTTGTAAATTTTGTTTTGGGGAGTAGGGACTTGACCCACATGCGTGCGTTCTGCGGCCGCGAGCGTTCGTCGTGTCCATTCGTGACCATCCTCCTGACTGCCAACACTTGTGAAGCTTCGGTTTGACTGTACGTGCCACATGTGCGTACAGTCACGAGGATCGGGGTCGCCTTTCGTGACTTTTGCAGCTTCGCCGTTTTGCTGGCCAAAACCTCCGACAGCCACGAGGATCGTGTGGGTCGGTGCCGCCGTCCTCTTGTGCTACTGTCTTTTTTTGGAAAGCTCCCGGTGCGCCTCAAGGAACAAAACTCCGATCTACTCTGTCCCTCAAGGCCCTCCAGGGATCTTGGGGCAACTGCGATTTCAAAAGCCGAAGTCTGAGGGTTTTTAGCGAGAAAAACATCATGTTGCTGGTACAACAAACATAGCGGCAAGAAGAATAGCAGACAATACAGACAGAAAGAACGAAACAAACAGCAAAAAGGAAAGAACGAAAGAAAGAAAGAACGAATCAATAATAAGGAAGGAGAAAGAAAGAGAAAGAACGAGAAAGAAAGACAGAAAGGCAGAAAGACAGAAAGACAGAAAGACAGAAGGACAGAAAGACAGAAAGACAGAAAGACAGAAAGACAGAAAGATAGAAAAAAAGACAGAAAGACAGAAAGAATAAAGAACCAAGCAAAGAAATAAGGGAAAAAACAAGTATAGCCATGAATAAATCAAGAGCGGAAGAAAGAAAGAAATGAAGAAAGAAAGAACCAACAGAAAATGAACAAGAGGAACGTAAGAAATCAGCTAGGGGGCCCGTAGTGACGTTAAGGTAAACCCTAAACCCTAAACCCTAAACCCTAAACCCTAAACCCTAAACCCTAAACCCTAAACCCTAAACCCGACGTAAAAGCGGCCCCACGAAATTCTTGGCGTTGCACGTGCAGACAATCGGCTACTTACGTGGATCATCCCTTGGGATGTTCCCCTTGTACGAACAGTCCCTGGGATTGTGGGTTTTAGGGTTTAGGGTTTAGGGTTTTAGGGTTTTAGGTTTTAGGGGTTTGGGTTGGGGGGGGGGGACATCCCAAATCATCCCCAACAAACAGTTAACCGATGTCTGAGTCAACTTGCCGTTTTCCGGCAGGTTGAGGGTTTAGGGTTTAGGGTTTCGCGTTTAGGGTTTAGGGTTTCGGGTTTCGGGTTTCGGGTTTAGGGTTTAGGGTTTAGGGTAGCTAGGATGCTTCGCCGCAGGCTTCCGTTGCGGCGCTTCCCCCGCGGGATTCTCTAGGGCTTGGAGTTGTCCACCCGACAACAAGAGACCAACCAACCAAGCAAACAAGCAAAGACACAAAGACAAAGACAAAGACAAATAAACAAACAGAACAATCAAACAAACAAACAAACAAACAAACGCACAACCACACAAACACACAAAGAAACACACATTTTGACTTTGACGCTTTGCGCAGTCTGTGCTACAGTGAGCATAGCCCAGCATTCGCGTGACCATGTCACAACAGTGGTGAACTACGAACATAAAGAGCGGAAGAGAGATGCGAAGTTCAGACCATCAGAGCAGAACGTTGCAGAAACAAATCTTGCAAGTGAGCGCGAGGGTCCGGCTACATATGTTCGACACGGTACGATACACCTTTGGTTGGGCGGCTGTAGCCCAACACGTACAGACTACGACAATTCACAACACATTCCCCCAGCGAGGAGAGCTACGCGCATGCTTGTTCTAAACCATTTGACTGCCGCTTGGAATGTTCGCAGGTCTTCTGCAAACGTGAATGCTTCCAAACAACCCCTGAGACCCCTACCCCTAACCCCCCTAAACCCTCTCTAAGGGCATGTTTGCCAACCTGACAAAACCCCTGAAACCCCTAAACCAAAAACCCTAAACCCTAAACCCTAAACCCTAATCCCTAAACCCTAAACCCCCCTAAGCCCTCCCCAAGGACATGTTTGCCAACCTGGACACGGACGGCAGCGGCAACCTTTCCCGCGAAGAGTTTGCCCGGCTCATGCAGCAGATGCAGGGCCAGGTGCTGGACTTGTGGTTCGGGTTTAGGGTTTAGGGTTTAGGGTTTAGGGTTTAGGGTTTAGGGTTTAGGGTTTAGGGTTTAGGGTTTAGGGTTTAGGGTTTAGGGTTTAGGGTTTAGGGTTTAGGGTTTAGGGTTGTGGTTCCCTTATAGGTTACCCTAGGACCCGGAGTAGGCCCTTATTCCTTTTTTTTGGGGTTGGGGTTCCCTTTAGAATCCCCTTAAAACCAAAAAGGGCACCCTGTTAATCCCTAGGTTACTCCTGGGTCTAGCAAGGGTGTCGGGTCTTAAGGGACCAGGTTATGTGCGAGGGAGAGATGTACCTGAAGGCTCATGGGCAGGTACGAGCAGGGTTATGAGTACCCTACAGAAGGTTATAAAATCTGTTATAACTATAGTTGCATTACTTATAACCCCACTTATGACTCCCATGAACCTCCAAGTACGTAGCAGACTTGCAACTCTGCACGTCTCATCTGGCTGGTGCCTGCGGGCTACGGCTGGGCTCTGAAGGGTTCGGGTCTTGGGGCTTCGGGCCTGAAAGATCTCAGGTTTCATGTTTCAAACCTGCAGGGCCCCGACTTTGCACTTGTACTTGATCCGAAGAATTCGAAGCTCTATGGTGTACGGTTATGGGGTTTAGAATTCGCCCCGTTACATGGAAAGTTTTGCAAATTGGGGCGCTCTGCTACATGCAATTGCTTTGCGTAATGACAGCGTTCAAAAACACTGGAGGCGTTCTACTACACAGAGCCGTTTGTCCATTGGCGCATTCTGCTAGGGACAGTTTCTTGTGGTTTCTTGACATCTCCTGCTACACAGTTGTTTGCTTGCACATTTTTGTATCAACCGTCTCCGTATCCAAACTGTATCCGCAAGCACTATGGGCATACGTACAGATATACTTAGACTTATGAGACGTTTACGTATATACCCATACATACATATGCATGTACATGTACATGCATATATGCCTGTAGATATATTTGTTATATACATAAATATATAAATAAATATATATATATATATATACATAAAAGTATGTATGTGCCATATATAAAATATGCAGAATTTATAGAATATATAATTAGAATATATAGAATATATAGAAGTATATATATATATATATGCATTTGTATGTGTGTATGTCTATAAACAGATAGATAGACACAGCCCCTATAACAGCCCAAACCTCGACCGACTCTAGAATGACAGAGAGCGCGCGCAGGGCATGGCCCCGGGCATGGCCCCGGGCATGGCCCAGCCCCAGATGCTGATGGAGCCCGTGACGGCTATGCCACAGGTAACTCAGTACCCGCCTGGCAGTGCGGCTCCTGGCCAAATGGGTGCCCCCATGTATGCCGCTCCCACCGGCCCCGATGGTGCACCCATGGGCGCGCCCATGTATGCCGCTCCCACGGGCCCAGGAGGCGCGCCAACGGGTGCTCCCATGTATGCCGCTCCCACCAACCCCGGCGGCGCGCCCACAGGCGCACCTATGTATGCTGCTCCCACCAACCCCGGCGGGGCTCCCATGTATGCTGCTCCCACCGGCCCCGGTGGCGCGCCCATGCCCGCCGGAACCGATGGTGCACCCGTGTATGCCGCTCCCACCGGCCCTGACGGTGCCCCCATGGGCGCGCCCATGTATGCTGCTCCCGCAGGCCCGGGCGGTGCTCCCATGACCGTTGGCCCCGATGGTCAACCCGTGTACGCTGCCCCAGTCGGCCCCGACGGTCAACCCATGTATGGCGCCCCCATCGGCCCCGACGGTCAACCCATGTCTGGCGTCCCCATCGGCCCTGATGGCCAACCCATGTATGGCGCACCCGTCGGCCCTGACGGTCAACCCATGTATGGCGCCCCCATCGGCCCCGACGGTCAACCCATGTCTGGCGTCCCCATCGGCCCTGACGGTCAGCCCATGTACGGCGCCCCCATCGGCCCCGATGGTCAACCCATGTCTGAGGGTCAGCCTATGTATGGGGCCCCCATCAGCGGCCCGCCCATGCCAAACGATGGCCAGACCATCATGGGCAACACGTACCAGGCTTTGTGTGAGGATAGCGGTGCTTTGGGTTTCAGACCGGGGTATGGCTGACTGTTGGCTGCAAAGGCTACCAAGAGGTGCAAGACTTGAGGATTTCTGAGGATCGCTCGTTTGAGATAAATTCCTTCAGTATCCTTTCCCGGCCAGGTGAAGGTCCCCACGCAAACTATGAGGGATGATAGCAGCGCCACCACTACGCCGCAAGTCTGCACTGTTCCATCTGCTGGCAAGTCCTAAGCCCAAAAACCAAGCCTAAAACCCCAAATCCTATAAGGTCTAAATCCACTATCCAAGCTTGCTTGGCAACCTTTATTGTAAACTAGCGACAGGCTATTGTTCAGTAGCAACACTAAACCCTGAACCCTAAACATCCCTAAACGCTAGGCATCCCTAAACCCTAAACATCCCTAAATCTTAAACTCGAAACCCTGAACCCTAAAGCCTAAACCCCAAACCCAAAACCCAAAACCCAAAACCCTAATCCCTAAACCCAAAACCCTAAACCCTAAACCGCAGCAAGAGGGCAGATCGCTCAGGCAGTGGCCGGCTGCGTACCAGCAGGTTCAGGCGCTGAACTCATGAACCAGCAAGGACTACCCTACCATAGGGTTTAGGGTTCAGGGTGTAGGGTTTAGGGTTTAGGGTTTAGGGGTTGCTAACATTATTCCCTTATGGTCCCTTTATAGTTTTACTAATAAAAACTCCCAAGAAACCCGAGTCTAATTATTAAGGCCCCTCTAGTAAACCCGCTTTACTTCCTAAGCCCTCGGCCCCGATTTGGGCGGTTACGAAAAGGAGAGACCCCTAATATAAACCCCCCCCCCCCAATAGTAGGATTCCCTTATACAAAGGGACGCCAACAAGGTAACCCTAATATTTCGTAAAAGGATTCCCTGATACTAAGGGGCCCCCATAAGGCACCTCTAATATTTCGTAAGGCCCCATTTCTTATCAGGGACTGTTGCTGCCGTGCAGGTCGACGGCGAGACGCAATATGTTGCCGGCAAGACCGAGGAACTTGATGCGCCCGCTCAGGCACTGCTAAGGGGATCTCGGGAGATAAGTTTCAGAGCAGCTACACCCTAAACCCTCAACCCTAAACCGTAAGTCCCCAACATGGACGTTAAGGTGTCGACTTGCAGTTCGTTCAGTTGCGTTGAACCTTTCATTCGGGCGTGTCGGCTAGCTTGATTCAAGATAGTTCAGCCGCAGGAGGTTGACTTACTGGTGAACGTTATGTGCGGATCTTATGGGTAGAGAGGGAGAACTATATCGGAAGCTTGTGTATGACATGCCTTTTGTGGGAACTGCTTAGACCATGCAGGACATGAAGTTGAGACAGCCCCCCCGCCCCTCACCCCCAAATCTCTTGGGTTCATTGAAGGTTCCGGGTATACTCGCAAGCAGTACCTGCACCAAACCATAAACCTTAAACCCTGAACCCTAAATCCTAAACCCTAAACCCTAAACCCTAAACCCCAAACCTTCCGGTGAGCTCCCGCCCGAGCTGCCACATGCATGCTCTCGACTCAAGCCCGCGCTCTAGAAAGCACGCAAGCATCGGACTCCAAAGCATCGCAAATAACATAAGGGGGCTTTGGGGTTTAGGGTTTAGGGTTTAGGGTTTAGGGTTTAGGGTGTAGAGTAGGTAACCTTTAACCTTTTTTTGGTCCCCTTATAATCCCAAAGGTTAACCTTTAGTTCCCCCAGTTACTGGACAACTAAGGTACCCTTTTGGGGGTTCCGATAGTACGGTTTATGTGCTACTTTGGGGTATCTTAAGTGTACCCCTATCATGAATTTGTATGAAGTGTGCGAAATTAGGGGTACCTTATTGGGGTTCATATCACAAAGGAATCCTGCTGTTTGAGGGTCTATATTGGGGGCAAAGCCTCTTTTCGTAAACGCCCATATAGCAATAGAGTTGTTGGCCTCGTGGCGGGTGCCACATCGCGTAGGTCCCATACACCTTCCAAATCATAACTGTGCTTGTAACCCACTTATAAGCTCCTTAAGTGCCCTAGTAGGGTTATAAGTACAGTTATAAGTACAGTTATAATTTATTATATAAGCTCCTTAAGTGCCCTAAGAGGGTTATAAGTACAGTTATAAGTACAGTTATAATTTATAGTTGGTTCATAAGCACCATGAACCTTGAAGTAGGTCCCATACACCTTCCCCGCTCCGAATCGCTTGCGTCGTTTCGTGTCACGACCACGCTGCAGGGATGCACAGCCCCGAATTGTGAACCTAAACCCTAAGCCCTAAGCCCTAAACCTAAACCCTACACCCTAAACCCGAGACCCTAAACCCTAAACCCTAAACCCCAAACCCTCTCTTGTGGCCTCTTGGATCGGTTGGCTCCGTGCCATCCTGTCCGACGGCCTTCGATGGGATTTACATTCCTGTTGTTGCAAATGTGCCTCTAAACCCTAAACCCTAAACCCTGAACCCTGAATCCTAAACCCTAGTATTCCTCATGAAGTGCAGAACTGCCCTCACTCTTTACCCTGAGGCTCCTATGTAGTACCTTTTTTGGGGTAGTATCGTAGAATCCCCGATAACTGACCCCAAAAGGAACGACATTGGCGCCTTAGGGTAGCTACTAGGCCCCTTGCGGAGTGGTCATTGGAGAGCTCTGGGCCGGCATATTGCAACCTTCCCTCGATACCGAACCGACCCATACCTTCCACCGCGGTGTCTTGAAACAGGGTTTAGGGTTTAGGGTTTAGGGTTCGGGTTTAGGGTTTAGGGTTTAGGGTTTTAGGGTTTAGGGTTTAGGGTTACGTCCCCTGCAAGAGGTCGGCACCCAGCGAGTGGAGCAGACCGTGGCTGGACAGAGGAAGCAGCAGGCCGACTTTTCATGCCTGTGGTTTAGGGTTTAGGGTTTAGGGTGTAGGGTTTAGGGTTTAGGGTTTGGGGTTTCGAGGGGGGGGGATTCCGGGCCAAGGACATCCCAAACACTAAGAGCCTGAGAAGGACCCTTTTCGTTAATGTGCGGTGACGACGGGTGTAAGTTTCAGAAATGTTGAGGGCTTTGTGCGCTTAGCCTTCTGGAGAACGTGTCTGAACGGCTGGCGGTGTGATTATGATGCTCTGAAAAAAAGATGCCTTTCTTGCGCCCAGTTGCATCTCGAAACTCTGAGCAATAAGCCTCAGGCGCTAAACCCCACTCTCACAGACGCCCCTGCTTTCCTTAACAGTCCTGTCTCCACCTACAAGCAGCCCCTGCGCATTCAACAAAAAAGCCCAAACCCCCATTCCCCGCGCCCCTGAAACCCTCAGATCCCTGACAGCTCATAGCGCGTGATCCGTGCCCCGCGGCAGATCGTGGAGATTCCGCAAGTCCAGGAGGTTGTGGAGGAACAGGAGATCCCCGAGGCCGGTGCATGTTCAGGTACTTGAAGTAGTTATAAGTAGGGTTATAAGTACCCCCTTAATAAGGTTAAAATCCGTTCAGGAGGCGTAGGGTTTGGTAGGGCTTTGTAGGATTCAGAATTTCGGTTTCAGGGCTTGGCACACGGGGGTTGCGCCGCAGATACCATGTAAAATTTGAAATTCGGCTGGCCCAAAGGGACTCTCTTCTTCTTGACCAACTATCAACCACCCCCACGATCCTTGAGGTTTTTTGAGTTTTCTTAGAGTGTTCCCTCCAACCTTGCGTCTGCATTCCAGATATGCGAGGGCATCTTTGCAGGAGGCGCAGCCAAGTTGTCAGTGTTCACTTCTGCATCCCAGACCCCCTGAGCTCTATAACCTGCAGCATGAAGGCTTTAAACCCGAAACCCTACCCCTAAACCCTAAACCCTATTTTAAAACCTAAACCCTAAACCCTAAGCCCTAAACCCTAAACCCTAAACTCAACCCTAAATCCTTAACCCCCTAAACCCTACAACGCAAAAACACCTCGGCAAGACGGGGGTGTGTCGTTCTGTACGGACCATGTTAGCTGTGGCGGCGGCCCGGATGTGCAAAAGTCTAGGAAACCAGGTTTTTAGGGTTTAGGGTTTAGGGTTTAGGGTTTAGGGTTTAGGGGGAAGCCATCCGCCTGAACAACTGCTCGGGCCAGCGAGTGTTTGTTCGATGCTGCGGGCTGCAAGCTAAACCCTCGCTGAGACCCTATTGACCTTATAAGAGTTATACTTCTGCATAGGGGGGGGGGTACTTACGACGAATCTGCTCAGATAAACCCTAAAGAGCCCCAAGCGCCGAACCGTGGACCGTTGGATTCAGGTGCAGGTCGTGCAGAAGGTGGTCGAGGCCACGACATTCCTAAACCATACAGTGAGACCCCCCCAACCCCCAAACCCCCGAACCCCCGAACCCCCAAACCCCCAAACCCCGCCCGAACCCTAAGCCCTAACCCCTAACTCTAAGCCTAAAGGCCTGTATTGCCTCAGTTGAGCTTAGGAAGCATTTTGGAAGAGTACTGGGGAAACCCGAGGATGCGTTTAGGGTTTAGGGTTTAGGGTTTAGGGTTTAGGGTTCAGGGTTCAGGGTTTAGGGTTTCCTCCCCTCCCCTTGTGTTTGGGACCTTGTATGGCAAACCTTTCAACCCTTAAGATCCGAAGCTGGGGAGGTCCCTCAGATTGTGCAGCAGCCCGTGGAGCAGATCGTGGAGCAGGTCGTTCAGGCAGCATCCCCAAAGTTGGGGGTTTAGGGTTTAGGGTTTAGGGTTTAGCGTTTAGGGTTTAGGGTTTAGGGTTTTGGAGGGTGTGGGGGGTGGCCGACGGTTCAGGTTTGGGTTTGTTTCGGGTTTTGGAGGTTTAGAGGTTTGCACCCAAATTGCTCAGGCGCAAACCCCACACAGTGTGCGTCGTTCTAGGGAGATGAAAGATATGAACGGACGTATCACCCGGAGCAGAAGCTCTTGCAACCAAAGAACCTCTGGAGCAACAAAGGCAGGCCATTCGAACAATGTAAGGTCATGAGCACTACCTTTCTTCTGCCAGGGCTCCAGGGCATTTTCGTGAGTCTCCGACACCTTAAAGCCTAATATATGAGTCGGAGTAGTTACTAATAGTATTCCCTTTAGGGCCCCTTTATAAGTATAGTAGGGTAACCCCCAAAACCTTGTTCTAATTTATTCAGGCCCTATACTATCTGAACCCCAGGGCTCGCCCAGGTGCCGCAGGTCATCCATCAGCCGAAGGTCTCCCATCGCCACGTGGAGCAGATGGTGGCCAGACTGCTGTGGTTTCTTTGGTTTACGGTTTAGGGCTTAGGGTTTAGGGGTTAGGGCTACTTCAGAGGGCGGAGAGTTCAACTAGGGCTTTAAGGTGTGGGGCATGTTGGATTCAAGAACGAGCCACACTGCTGTGGTCCTCCCACTAAATCTCAGGTCGACATCCCTGTGCCGCAGATTGTGGAGGAGGTTGTCCATGTGCCGGTTACGCAGACCCAAGCTCGCCAACGCCTAAGTGACAGGGTTCAGGGGTAGACCTTTTGTGCACCTTTTTTTTGGCTCGCCAAACGGACTGTTGAAGCACCAAACCGACCAGTGGTGTACCAAAAAGAAGCAGAACATCGCACCAAAACCACCGCCGCTTCAATTACCCGCCAATCTCTCACCCTAAGCCCCACGCCAAGATCCCATCGTCGCACGCCAGGACTCAATTTCAACAGCATCTGGATCACTAAAGCCCGAACGCTGAACCCTGAAGCTCGAAAACCCGGAGCCCTGAAGCATTCCGCATCCCCTGCAACATCCTGAGGTCCGTCTGCTTCCCGAATTCCCGAACCCAAGCACGTGTTGAGGCCATTACCAGGTGCCCGTGGAGCAAACTGTGGAAGTTCCAGCGCCTAGGAATCGCAGTGGCATCCTTCTTTTTATAAGAGGGTTTAGGGTTTAGGGTTTAGGGTTTAGGGTTTAGGAATCGCAGTGGCGTTCTTCGTCCTTTTTTTTGGTGCGCTGGGGTAGGTCCGCTTCTTTTCTCTTATAAGCCCATGCGCCCCAAACCGACAAAGGTGTTTGCTCCTTTTTACGTATTCTTAGGTGACCGGTGAACCTAGGTGCCCATGATGCAGGAGCAGCAGGTGCATGTTCCCAAGGCCTGGCTTATACGTTTTTATGGACCTTCGGCTTCATGGCTGTTTGGATTTTTGCGCTCGGTGCTCAGGGTTGGGGATTTAGGGATGCTTGGGGCTTGGAGTTTAGTGGTGTTTGGGGGGTTTAGCAGGACTTGGTGAAGTCTGAGGAGCCTCATACTGCAGCCCGAGGTTCCTTCGTTTAAAATTTTGCGCGCGTGCGCGCGCGCTTGCCCGCGTGCATGCACGCGTGTGTGAGTGCGTGCGGACGACCGGGCAGGTGATGACCCAGAAGCGCCAGATGCACCAGCACGTTGAGCAGGTCGTGGAGGTTCCTGTGCCTATGACCCAGGAGGAGGTCGTGCACGTCCCCAAGATCATGACGCAGACCCGGGTCATGCAGCAGCACGTGGAGCAGGTCGTGGAGGTCCCGATCCCCATGACCCAGGAGGAGGTTATTCATGTGCCTGAAATCATCACACAGACCCGCATCGTGCACCAGCCAGTGGAGCAGATCGTTGAGGCAAGGCCTGACCAAGATCTTCCGCTCCAGTCATGTCAGCATTGCTCGGACACAGTGTCACACAGTGTCACACACGACAACTTGGAGGCTCATGGGTAGTTGCAAGAAGGGGTCGGGTAACGATACTTATAACCTTCCTTAGGGTACTTGTAACCCTAGTTTTACCTACCCATGGACCTTCAGGGAAGCCAGAAGCTTGACAGATTTCCCTCCGGACCCCCCCATTTCCTGTGAAGGTGCCGGTCCCTGTGGCGCAAGAGCAGGTTGTGCCTGTGGGGCAGGCCATTTCTGGGAGGTTTACGATATTAGGGGGACGTTTTTGTTAGGATCCTTTTTATAAGGGAATCCTATTATTTGGGTGGCTAGATTAGGGGTTCCCCTATTTTTGTAAACCACAATACTCAAACCCGTGGCATTGCAGTGTTGCTGGCAGACAGCTTAAACATGAAGCACGTAGTTGAGGACCCCGTAACTTCGCGACTTGAAGCTCTTGAATTGTTCAGCGCTTCACCTCTCTCGCAATAGTGACCGCAATAGGCTTGACAATAGGTAGGTGTCTGTGATCTCGACTCCCCCTTTCAAAGTTTTCCCAGACTTTCTAATGAAACCTGTTATTCAAGGGGGAACATCCTAATCCAAACCCGAAGCCACAACATAAATCAAAGCATGGCTCCCAGTGCAGCCGCAGGGAGCACCCTATGGCGCCCCAGGGACCATGGCAGCCGGGCCCTTAAACTTTGCGGTTTGAAGCATATATATATATATACTATATATTTTATTATGTATGTATGTATGTATGTATGTATGTATGTATGTATGTATGTATGTATGTGTATGTATGTGTATGTATGTGTTTGTATGTATTTATGTATGATATGATATGATATGATATGATATGATATGAAATGAAATGAAATGAAAGTATGTATGTATGTATGTGTGTATGTATGTATGTATGTATGTATGTATGTACGTACGTGAATATGTATATATATATATATATCTGCACACATATACATACATATATATATATACATATATATATATGTAACACTCAAACCTCTCCTGACGAAAGTCGCCAGGCCCCAGGCCAGCCGCAGGGTGCACCATACGGGGCCCCAGGGACCATGACCGCCGGGCCCTTAAACGTTGAGGTTCTTCGGGGGTTTAGAGTTTAGGGTTTAGGGTTTAGGGCTTCGGGTTGAAGAGCTCGGCATAGCGCGCCAAGGGCATGTGTCAACGGGGCGTCACACCGGAAATGAAGGTTTCAGCCTACAGGATCGCAGGCCGAGACGACCCTTGCCGTGCAGGTTTAGGCTGTATCTATCTGGTTGGAATCACACTGAATCGCGCAGCTTGCCTCCTCGGGGATGTGGTTTCAGAAAGAGAAGAGCTTCTCCTTGTGTTTATGTGTTTTGTCCTTTCAGAGCGTCATCTTAGGGAATGTGCCTTTCAGCAGGGTGACGTATCTAAGGAATCCCGCCCAGCTCGAATCCTCCCAGACCTATAGAACCCCGAAGCCCAACGCCGCCAGGCCCCAGGGCAGCCGCAGGGCGCACCATACGGGGCCCCGAACATGATGGCCGGGCCCTTAAATTTCCGTAAGGATTTGAGGCTGCTAAACCCGATTCCGTAAAACCCCTGAAGCCCCAATGACAAACCAAGCCGCCAGGCCCCAGGGCAGCCGCAGGGCGCGCCGTATGGGGCACCGCAGACCATGATGGTCGGGGCCTTCAACGTTTATATACGTTTATATTCCGAGATTGAGTTGCAACCTTCAAGCACGATCAAGCTTTTCGGCATCAAACTCAAGAAACACCACCCTCACGCCCCAAAGCCGCCAGGATCCAAACCAGCCGCAGGGCGCACCCTATGGCGCGCCGCAGCAGATGATGGCCGGGCCCTTAAACTTACCGCTTGGATCTGCAGCTGCTAAGCCCTGAAGCTCCAAAACTAAACCCTAAACCCTAAACCCTAAACCTCAAACCCTAAACGCTGAACCCTAAACCCTAAACCCTAAACCCTAATCCCTAATCCCTATACCCTACACCCAAACCCTGAAGCTCCAGAGCCGCCAGGCCCCAGGGCAGCCGCAGGGTGCACCCTATGGGGCACCGCAGACTATGGCCGGGCTCTTGGTTGAGACTTTTGGGGGTTTTCAAGCTCCTATAGACGTAGATTCTCAATGTCCTAAGCATTTCAATGTAACGCCTCCCTAAAAGTTCATCAAAGGCCCGCACGAAAGCCCTTACGCCCAGAGCTGCCAGGTCCCAGGGCAGCAGGGCGCACCCTACGGGGCACCGCAGCCCATGCCGGCCCAGCTCTCAAATCTGGTTGGGTTCTAGATTCAGCTTGCCTGGCTCTGGCTTGGTTGGTCTCAAGTGGAGTTCGGGTGGCACCGTGCGCTCACCAGTGTGAGACCCTGCCTAAGCCCAAACCTGTGAAGTCAATCGGCCTTGACCCTGGCAGGCTCAGGAGCAAGTCATCCAAGTGCCAAAGATCATGACGCAGACGCGCGTGATTCAGCAGCACGTGGAGCAGGTGGTGCAGTGCATGGAGGGCGTTCCCAGGACACTGTAGGTGGAGACAAGGTTCTCAACTTAAGCAGGAAGCCCGAAACACTAAACGGCTCCGGCTTCTGTGCATGTGCGTGTGGTCGATGCTGACAGTTAAATCACAGCTGACCAACCGACTACCTAGAGTTCGTTCACTTTGGTCTCTTACGTTTCGGAAAGGATGTTGTGTCGCCAGGCACCTGCTGCATTGAAATCGGGCGCGCCCTATCTCCACACTTTGCCCTGAAGCATCAGACTGCATCAACGCCTTTCCATCCTGTACTCGCGTCGCTAACCTGGACGCCGCACCCCCAAAGTGTCTGCAGTCCTCTGCAGTAGAAACGAAACCCCTTCCGAACGGAAATCCTGAAGCCCGAAACCTGAAGCCCTCGTGTCCTGTTATGTGCCACAGTCAGGTCCCATTGCCCTACTTGGAGGTTCATGGGTAGTTATAAGTTGGGTGAGAGGGCAACTATGGTTAGAACTGGTTATACCCTTCTTTGGGATACTTCTAACCCTACTCATGCCTACCCAGAAGCCTCCATTATTCCCCCCCCACCCCCCCAAACCCTAAGCCCTCTCCCAAAACCCTAAACCCTAAACCCTACAAACCATGGGAAAAAACCTAAACCCAAAGCCCAAATTCCGCAAGTCGTGTAGGTTGGAAGGGTGTGGGTGCTTTTGGGCAGGTGGTCGAGATCCCAATCCCGCAGACCCAGGCCTGGATCTGTAGTGTTCTCCTTAAGAACCCAAAGCCAACTTTGTGGTAGGCTACCTAAGAATCCTCTATGAGGGTTTTAGAGCAACAGCCGTTTAGGATGTTTGGGGCTTTGGGGTTTAGGGTTTGAGAGCTGGTGGGGGGGCTACGCGGGGGGAGTTTGCTTGTTTTTCTTTTGTACTGGTAGGGTCTTTTCGTAAGCAGCGTTTGGCGGGAGGCCTCTTAGGGCGTCAGGCCTTTCCAGGCCCAGGGTTTATATTCAAGTTGTAGGGTTTATAGGCTTCTTCCGTGATTATCCAGGAGAGGATGGTGCCTCATTGCTTGAAGGGGCCTTCGGCGGATCAATATCAGCCCATTGAAACTGAATCCTGGCAGAAAACGCACAGCGCACTCAAGTATAGCCGAGATAGAGGGGTTCCCACACCTGCACGGAGGAAACGCGCGTTTTCGAAGTACGAGAGTTTGATTTATAAACTGCCATGGAAGCATAGTCGATGAGGAAATGGAGGATCTTCTAAGCAATACAAGAGGAACGAGAGGCATTTTTCGATTTTTTTGAAAACTCAAGCTCACGGAGCCCGGGAACAAGACGTAAACAGATAAAACAAGTCTCTCGTCCCATTCCCACCTGTAGCTTCAAGCAAATCAATCAACAAAAACAGGGGGGCCTGGGGGTGCCCAACCCAAAACCCTAAACCGTAAACCCTAGACCCTGAACCCGAAACCCGAAACCCGAAGCAGAAGCTCTACCGTGCTCATAAGTAGACTTCGAAGTATGGTCACTATAGTTGCAACCTGTTTTCCGGGCACTTCGAACCCTGCTTATAACTGCCCATGAACCTTCAAGCATAAACCTTGAATTGCCCTGGCTTAGCCCGGGGGCGGTGGGCATTCCTTGCTGGGCAGGAGCAGGTGGTCCATGTGCCCAAGATCATCCCGCAGGAGAGGGTTTAGGGTTTAGGGTTTAGGGTAAAACCCTCGGAAGCCCCAGATTTGCCCAAGCCCTCAGCCATTTACTTGAAGGTTCATGGGTACTTGGAAGTAGGGTTACAAGCGCCCTAAGTAATAAGTACAGTTGCCCGACTTTTCACCCTACTTCTAACTACCCATGAACCTCCAAGTACTACAGGTTTTGTGGCCGTTTGGGGCTCTGTACATCCTACGTCCGCTGAGGGTTCGAGCCTCGAGTTGGGGGCATGCTCGTGGAGGCTGCACCCCGTTAAGCCCTAAACCTCTACTTGAAGGTGCATGGGTAGATATCGGGCAGGGTTCGAAGTGCCTTAAATGAGTTGTTGTAACCCGTGAAAATTCTAGGTTACACCCTAAAACCCCAAACCCCAACCCCCCAACCCCCCAACCCCCCAACCCCTAAACCCTAAACCCTAAGCCCTAAGCCCTAAGCCCTAAGCCCTAAGCCCTAAGCCCTAAGCCCTAAACCCACTTTTCCCTACATATTTGGAACATCCAAGTATAGACCGCAGGAGCGCATCGTCCACCAGCATGTGGAGCAGGTCGTCGAGGTCCACGTGCCCATGACCCAGGACCCTTTCTTGGGGCCATTTGGGGGTTTCCGAAAATAGGCGTACCCTCTTTGGGGCGGTTTAGGGATTCGGGTTTAGGGTTAGGGTTGAGGTTTAGGGTTTCGGGTTTGAGGTGTAGGGTGTAGGGTTTAGGGTTTGAGGTTTAGGCTTTAGAGTTTAGGGTTTGAGGCTTAGGGTTTGGGGTTCGTTCGGGCTCAGTGCGGGGTTCAGTCTGAGCTCTTGGTGTCCACCACTATGGAGTTTGGGGTCGTTGTCCTGAGCATGTTGCTTTTCAACTTCCCCTAAACCCTAAACCCTAAACCCTAAACCCTAAACCCTAAACCCTGAACCCTGAACCCTGAACCCTAAACCCTGAACCCTAAACCCCAAACCCTAAACCCTAAACCCTAAACCAGGGGCTTGGGGTTGAGCATGGCCTTCCATTGCCAGGAGCAGGTGGTGCACGTGCCGAAGGTGATGCAGCAGGAGCGTGCCCATCACTTCCACGTGGAGGCGCCCGCATGCGGTGGAGCCCCGAGAAGCCCAAATGGAGAATTTGTAAGAACCAGTCAGGGCATCCATAAGATAGCTTGCTCCCAGTGGTTTGTTCTAAGGCTGTTGCAGTGGACCCAGCACATCAGTTCGTGGGTTCAGGCTTTTAGGGTTTATAGGGTTTAGGGTGTAGGGTGTAGGGTTTAAGCTTTAGGGTTTAGGGCCGTGAGACAGGCTCTTCTAAATTTGGCCGTGGTTCTGTCGAGCATTTCCGGGTTAACGAGGGGCGATACAGCTTGTGGATGCTTCTGGCGTGACTGAGGGTGCCTAGGGTTGAAGGTGTATGAAAGCTAAGTTTCAGAGGTCTCGCGATGCAGGCACAGGACTTGAGTGAAGTTCCTTCCGGAAGGAGATTGTGGACGTGCCGGTGGAGCAGCACATCGAGCAGGTTGTGCATGTGCCGAAGGCGTCGTAGCCGGTAGCACGGGTGAGCCCTTCACCTGATTGCTCAACAGACCCTACAGTAGCCGCAGTCGTGATCACAGAAGAAGCAAGAGTGAGAGCTACTCGTATTGTAGAAGAAGTCAATGTTAGAGGATACGATGTGCTTGCTGGAATGGAAACTCTGCGGCCCAAGAATCTAAGGGCCCACAGGGTGTGCTGCACACAACTCCTTAGATCCCCAGGAATCGCCACCCCAAATCCTGAAAACCCGAAACCTCGAATGTGGGTTCTGTTCTTGAACAAGCTGTAACAAGATCCCCTAGCCCCTAAACCCTAAACCCTAAACCCCTCCAGAGTCTTTCCAAAGTCATCTTAGATTTGCAAACCTGCGCTTGCATACTCAGGCCTTCTCTTTGTCGACTGAGGATCATGGTAACATTAAGCGTGCGCACATGATCGCTGGAGGATGCGATATTCCTACTCGTATCTCTCAGAAACTGCTCGAATCAGCAGCTTTCTGCTTTCTAGCAGTTTTTTTCCAGAAGCAGGAATCTCTACAGCATCTCCACGAAGGACCCTCAGTTTAGAACAACCTGCAACAGCTCCACTTGCTTGGCATGGGAAGCCCCGAAGCTCAGAGGAGTGGAGAGCCCGGCACGCATCCCTAGGAGTGAGCCAGGCCCTAAACCCTAAACCCTAAACCCTAAACCCTAAACCCTAAACCCCAAACCTCAAACCCCAAACCCTAAACCCTGAACCCTAAACCCTAAACCCTCCAAACAGGTCCAGAAGGTGGAGAAGATCGTCCACAACCCCGTGGAGCTGGAGGCGAGAAAAGAGTTCATGTTTTAGGGCCCCTAAACCCTGAACCCTGAACCCTGAACCCTGAACCCTAAACCCTAAACCCTAAACCCTAAACCCTAAACCCTAAACCCTAAACCCTAAACGTATACA